GGAGGGGGTGGGGGGGAGGGTGTGTGGGGGAGCGGGAGGGAAGTGGGAGGAGGGGAGGAAGTTGGAATTTTGATTGGTATTATTTTTAAAAATAAAATAAAATAAAAAAGAAGTTTAGAATCAACTTTTCAGTTTTAGCAGCCTCCTGCTGAGATTTTTACTGGAATTCAAGTATAATCATTCAGGACAAACTGACATCTTAATATATGTGTTGACAAATGGATATCACAGATCCTTCTGCTCATTACATCTTTTAAAAAAGAAAATTTTCAGCAATGCTTTATAGTTTCCAGTCTACAGTTCTTTCATATCTCTGTAAGATTCATACCTAAGCATAACAGTTTTTTTATGGCATTGCACATGGTTTGCTTTTTACACTTTAACCCCATTTATTCATTTCCGGTATACAGAAATGAAGTTAATTTTTGTACAGTGATCTTACTACAACTTCATAAAACCCACTCATTTGTTCTCTTTTTCTACTACGTAGAATTTTTATGTAGATTATGTTGTCTCGTGTGAATAAAGAGAGCTTTGCTTCTTTCGAACAAGCATTGCTTCTCAGCCTTCTTGGTTTTGTAGTTTGTTGTCAGGGACCTCCAGTAGAATGTGGAATAAAAATGATGAAAATGGGTGTTTGGGCTTTTTCTTGATCTTATAGGAAAATTATTCATAGTTCATTATTAGTTATGATGCTAATTATAGTTTTGAAAGATGACCTCAAGTTCTGGAGATCCCTTCAGTGTTTTAGTTTGCTTAGGGTCTGATGCCAGGAATGTATGCGATCCTCATCAAACGACTTTCCTGTGGGTCTGTCCAGGGTGCCATGGACTCTTTTCATCTTTAGTTTATAATATGGTCAATTACAGTGTTTGATCTATAACGTTAAACCAGTTTGGCGTTACAGGAAAAACCACACCTGCCACAAAGTATTGTCCTCTTTGTCTTTGTTAATACCAACTATTACATGTGTTCAGGAGAGACACTGGTCTATGGTTTTCTTTTTTTTTGTAGTGTTTTCTAGTCTTAATATCAGGGTCAAGCTGGCTTTCTGGAATAAATTAACTGCAAACTGTTTCTGCCTCTCCAATTTTCTGGAAGAGTTTGTGTACAATTGATAGGATTTTTGAAGCATTTGATACTTTGCACCAAAAGGATTATTTATAGATTTTTGATTGATCTATTTCTTCCATGAGTTTTGACAGTTCATGTCTTAAAAGAAATTTGTTTATTCCATCTAAAGCATCAGATTTTTTGGCTATGAAGTTGTTTATACTATTCTCCCAGTGCTTTTAAAGCCATACCCTCTGAAGTTTTGTAGACACTATAAAAAGTCCATGACCAGCATCCACCAATATTTTCATGTTATCTCTTAAATTTCATTCTATTCAAAATACTTTCAACTTTTCCTCATTGATTTCTTCTGTGACCAGTTGGGTGATACGGAAGTAAATTATTTAGTTTCCAGGCATTTGAGAACTCTCTAGGGATCATGTGGACTTCTAATTTACTTCTACTTTGATTAGAACACATAGCTCGCATGACTTGAATTATGTTAAAATGACTCGTATTTGTTTAATTCTCTAGAATGTGGTATCTATTGGTAAACAGCCCGTGTACTACTGAAAAGAATCTGGTTAGGATGTTTGGGGATCGAGTGATCTCCAGCCTTTTTATGCTGCTGTTTTTCTACTTACTTGGTCTATTTTTCAATGAGGGCTATTGAAACATTTGTCTGTAATTGTGGAGCCTGAGTATCCTTCATCTCCTGCAGCTTTTGCATGAGGAGCATTCCGCACTTAGACGCTGACAAGCGCTGTGTTTCTTTATTGATTACTCCTTTTTGACTTCCTTTATCCCTTGGAATATTCTTTTCTCTGAAATCTACTTTGCGCGACTTACTCTAGAAGCTTTATTTTTCTGCTAATGGAACTTCTATTTTGTGTACTCTTACTCTTAGTGTTTTTTCTCTTTATGTTTACGGTAGGCTTCTTGATTACAGTGCCCAATCGAGACTTACATCTTTATGTTTTAGTGCAAGTTGTCTTTCTTTGGCAATGTTATGCTTATAGAATCGTGGCAGATTTAAAGTGTTTTTGTGGCCCTTCACCAGATGCTTTATGCTGATATGTAATCATAGATCAATTAGTCTTGTTTGCTTATAATTATACTCAAATTTCAAAAATCAGTGATTATTCTGTTTCACTCCTGTATGTTTCTTTTTAAATTTTTTTATTGATTTTATTGAGCTATATATTTTTCTCTGCTCCCTTTCCTTTCTCTCTCCTCCTCTTCTCCCCTCTCCCATGGTTCCCATACTCCCAATTTACTCAGGAGATCCTGTCTTTTTCTACTTCCCATGTAGATTAGATGCATGTATGTCTCCCTTAGGGTCTTCATTGTTATCTATGTTCTTTGGAATTGTAAATTGTAGTCTGGTTTTTCTTTGCTTTATGTCTAAAAACCACATATGAGTGAGTACATATGATATTTTTCTTTCTGGGTCTGTCACCCTTCTGTTTCAAAAGAAGCAATATTTCATATACATATTCTTTAAGCTGTTCCAACTTTTCCTCTTGCTTAGGGTTCTTTATGTTTTTTAGTTTTCTCCTTTTTCCGTGTTTCATTCTGGAAATGATACTTCTTGATCCTCTAGTTCATTATCCTCGTCCCCCTGCAGCGTCTCACCTATCATTAATTCTATCAAGTACAACTCACCTGTCATTCACTGTATATTTTCATACAATGAAAATTTCATAACTTTCATAGCTCTTCACATAAGGGTTTTCCTTTGCTTAATGTATGCTAGATCTCTGTGTCGATATCGGCCGACTCGGTAGAAGAAAATCCATCTGTTTGCGTCTCTATGCATATTAAGAAAATATGCATTGGTTTGAATGAGTTTCTGTAAAGTTACTGATTATCTTTATGTCTGAAGGCTGAGTTTGAAATCTTCTAGGAAGGGTACTGTAAAGAAAAGATGGATGTAAAGTTAGCACAGCAAGATCAGACTGGAGCACTTGAGGATGAATTAGGATCCACAGTGACAGATTGAATTTCATGTCAGCCATTACTGCCTTCAACCTTGAAGCAGTGAAGCTGTCTCTTCATCTTGGATTTAGGCACCTCTGGAAAATGAGTCAGAGAAGGCAAGAGAGGTATCAAATGAAGCTTGATCAGTTGCCTGCCTATGAAGGAAGCCCACAAAAGACAGAGAGAGTGTATTCCCAATGTTCATAGTCGTGCCTTCATTCTCAAAGGCCAGCAATGCTGCTGCTGCTAATTTAAATCCTGTTTCATATCTTTCTCTAGTGCTGCAAAAAAAGTAAAGAAAGGGAAAAGACAAAGAGTCCTTAACTCAACTGGAAAGGAATTATTCTTGGGAACATAATTTATTCTGTCCAAGTGGACAAATGATGGAACCACTGATGTGGATGCCCCCTCTGTGTGCTGTGATTACCATTAATGAATAAAGAACCTGCCTTGGCCTGTTGATAGGGCAAAACTTAGGTAGGCCGGGAGGACTAGAGTGAATGCTGGGAAAAAGAAGGGCGGAGTCAGGGAGCTGCCGCCAGAGTCAGACATGCCAAATCTTTGCCCATAAGCCACTGCCATGGGGCAATATACAAATTAATGGAGATGGATTAAATTAATGTGTTAGAGTTAGCCATAAGAAGTTAGAGCTAATGGGCCAAGCAGTGTTTTAATTAATACAGTTTCTGTGTGATTATTTTGGGTCCGGGCAGCTGGGAGGGCAGTGGGTCCTCCTCCAGCAATAATTTATTCTGTCCAAGTGGACAAATGATGGAACCACCTCCCACCTTAGCATCTCAAAAGAAAGAATGGAAAGACACAGAACGGATGCTCAGGAGTCAGCGTTCTGTTCTGCCTGCCCCCAAGCTACCTTTTTCCCTTAACTGGACACTGTCCTGTGGTCACATGCCATTCCTGACCCGAACTTCACTCACATGGTATCTGCTTTGCAGCAGGGATGCGGGAAACAAGCACAGCCCTTATAATCTGCTAAAATGGGGAGAATGCAGCACAGACCCGAATCCCGGCCTGTTTTCCAACCTCAGCCAAGGACTGATGGCTTCCCCCTTCCTTCCTCCCATCAGTTCTATTACCCACAGCCCAGCCGACTCCCTTCAGGACCCTCCAGGTCCATAGTATTGTGGCCCCATCTTCTTCTCTAGCACACAATGATGCGGACAGTGAGGTTGCGCAGAGGGGAGCCAGCAGCCCAGTATTTGATATTATATCAGCACATTATAAATGTAGATTTAATTTTTTTTAATCTAAGAAATCATTAAGGTAATTAATTAAATAAAATCGTAAGATGTTGTTGGTTAGATCATAGGATTTTTTTTTTGTAGAATTCTTTTCTTTTCTGACATATCTATCTGAGAAGAAAGAACCAGGTAAGATTATGCTTTGAATATTAAGATTAAGAGTCTTTGATTTTGGTTTCCTGCACCAAAGTTAAAATGCATTTAACCGAAAAAGAAAATGGCTATCTCAATTGTTTCCCAAGATGGCAGATGAGCCCGAATCATGACGAACAGCTGCTCTTATAGTTTTGGAATATTATTCATCTGTAAAATTCTTCCCTGGGGCTCCATAAATTGTCGCGGTATTCCCTCAGTAATTACGTGGAGAAGGCATGCTTTCTCTGCTTTTTGTGTGTAATACTGGCTGGGACTGACTCACTTCACAGAAAACATCTTGCTGGGTACACACATTTCTATGTGTCTCTGATAACTCTAAGCTTCAGGAATACACACACACACACACACGTTTTCATTCTTATTTGAACACAAAAGAACTTAAATTGGCCTGATGCAAGACATTAAGGACAGCCACTTAGTGCAGGTTACCAGAAATAATAGGGCCTTAAGGATGGTTTTGTTTTTTTATTTTTGAGTAACTGACAACTTTATCTGTGTCTTTCTGGGAAGCCACAGAGCATGCTGGCTAAAGGACTATAAAAATGCTTGAGCATTAAGTAAACAAGCAAAAGCGTGGGAGGTAGTGAAGTTCTCATAGGTCATTATCTTCCTTGTAAACTGTTTGGAAGAAACTTCCTCTGACCAGACTGGCTGCTCCATTCTGTCACTGCCATACAGGATCCCAGAGCCGAGAGCTAAGGCTCTCTGCGGCACTCTACCTTCACAAAGAAGTTTCCAGATGGCGTAGGACACATGTCATCCGTGACTGATCTTCCTGACAAAATGACAGTGTCTTCGCATTGTCTCTGAAAGCTTGATGACCCTCAATGTTTCCTGGAACAAAGAAGTCAGTAGAACAGGGTGAAAATGTTACAGGAGGCATGGAAGAAACACAAAAGACAGATGACAAGGTGACAGGTTAAACACAATCCACGGAATAAGAACCTCCTCCGCAGCACACCTACCAACACCTGCCCTTTGTTAAGACATAACAGAGAGCCGGCTGTAACTCCTTGCGCTCCTTAGGGAGCAGAATTGGGCTGTGTGTGCCCACTCCTGCGGAGATTTCCCTGGCCGGTGCCTCAGCAACCCGTATTTTACCTTCATTAGCCTTTTGTGTTGCCTCCTCCCCACCTCAAAGCCTGGTTATTCGAGTCTTCCAGCTCTGCCTCATTTCTCCTTTTATTTCTAGGCTTACATCTCAAAGGAGTTAATTAATAAGTCACTGATAATCTGTGTATACTTGGGGAGATGGTAGAAGGACCTCCTGGACTTGGGACTGAATTCAAGCCAATGTTTAGAGAGACAGGAGCACAATCACCCAACCGTCCACAAGTTTCGGGCCTTCCTTATGTAACACCCTGTCTGAATTTTCAGTCAACAGTCACTGCTGTTGAGGGTCCTTGATGTCAGAACTGGCCGGGGTGGAGGACATCATTCCTAGATAGTTCACCCATTTGCCATGCTTAAATCCTGCCCTGAGGAGAGAATTCTTTATTTTAAGCATTTCTTTCAGGCAATTAAAAAAAAAACTAGCATTAGGATGAATAAGACAATGGGATTCAAATAACTTAATGTAAATGAGTTATTCATTTCAGTTTCTCTAATGGAAGACATGCATTCATTGAATAAAGATCAGCGGAAGGAAAATCCATCAATGAAGTCTTGAAAGAAAGAGATGAAGAGCTTACAGTGGAAGGCAATAATTATCCAAACAAACACCATTTATGTGATATGTTTCTTTCCCTTCTGGACACCGGGATGAGAAGACAGAGATAATGGTTCTCTCGGCTCATGCTAACTGTTGTCATTCACCCCTGGCTAAAGAAGACTGCTCATTGTTTTATTTCATAATCTTATTGTTTTAATGAGTGTGTGTGTGTGTGTGTGTGTGCGCGCGTGCGCGCATGCATGCATGTGCTCTATAAATAGGCTAGGTTGACTGGACAGTGAGCACAGGCATCCACTAGTCTTTGCCTATCCAGTGTGATTTTATAAGCCTACATTACCATTCCTGTTCTTTTTCTTTCCTTTCCTTCTTTGTCTTCCTTCCTTCCTCCCTCTCCTTTCCTTCCCTCCCTCCCTTAGGGAGTAACTCTAACCAAAGGAAGATATGTATGACATGAACTTTAAAGCTTTGAAGAAAGAAATTGAAGAAGATGCCAGAAAATGGAAAGATGTCCCATGCTCTTGGATAGGTAAAATTAACATAGTAAAAATGGCAATCTTCCCAAAAGCAATCTACAGATTCAATGCAATGCCCATCAAAATCTCAGAAAAATTCTTCACAAACCTCGAAAGAATGGTATTCAACTTCATATGAAAAAATAAAGGAACTTCTGGAGGCATCACCATCCCTGACTTCAAACTCTACTACAGAGCTACAGTACTGAAAACAGCCTGGTATTGGCATAAAAACAGACAAGAAGACCAATGGAACTGAATCGAAGACCCAGATATCAATCCACATACCCATGAACACCTGATTTTTGACAAAGAAACAAAATAATGTAAAATGGAAAAAGAAAGCATATTTAACAAATGGCATAACTAGAACTCTACATGTAGAAGAATGAAAATAGATCCATATCTATTGCCATGCACAAAACTCAAGTCCAAATGGATCTAAGACCTCAACATAAATCCAACCATACTGAACCTCATAGAAGAGAAAGTGAGAAGTACACTTGAATACATTGGTACAGGAGACCACTTCCCTAAATATAACCCCAGTAGCATAGACACTGAGAGAAACAATTAATAAATGGTACTTCCTGAAACTGAGAAGCTTCTGTAAAGCAAAGGACACAGTCAACATGACAAAATGACAGGCTACAGAATGGGTTAAAGATCTTCACTAACCCCACATCAGATAGAGATCTGATCTCCAAAATTATAGATAACTCAAGAAATTGGTCATCAAAAGAACAAATAATCCAATAAAAATGGAATACAGTCCTAAACATAGAACTCTCAACAGAGGAATTTAAAATGGCTGAAAGACACTTAAGGAAATGCTCAACATCCCTAGTCATCAGAGAAATGCAAATCAAAACAACTCTGAGATTCCAACTTATACCTGTGAGAATGGCCAAGATCAAAAGCACAGATGACAACTCATGCTGGAGAGGTTGTGGGGAAAAGGGAACATTTCTGCATTGCTGGTGAAGAGCAAGCTGGTACAGCAGCTTTAGAAATCAGTATGGTGATTTCTCAGAAAATTAGGAAACAACCTTCCTCAAGACCCAATAACACCACTTTTGGGTATATACCCAAAGGATGCTCAATCATACCATAAGGACATGTGCTCAATTATGTTCATAGCAGCATTGTTTGTTATTGCCAGAACCTGGAAACAACCTAAATGCTCCTCGACCAAAGAATGGATAAGGAAATTGTGCTACATTTACACAATGGAGTACTACACAGCAGAAAAAAATGACATCTTGAAATTTGCATGCAAATGGATGGAGCTAGAAAACATCATTTTGAGTGAGGTAACCCAGACCCAGAAAGACAAATATCATATGTACTTACTCATAAGTGGCTTTTAGACATAAAGCAAAGAAACCCAGCCTACAATTCACAATCCCAGAGAACCTGAACAACAACAAGGGCCCTAAGAGAGACTTACATAGATCTAATCTACATGGGAAGTAGAAAAAGACAGGCTCTCCTGAGTAAACTGGGTGCATGGGGACCGTGGGTGAGGGTTGAAGGGGAGGGTAGAGGCAGGGATAGGAGTAGAGAAAAACGTAGAGCTCAATAAAATCAATAAAAAACTGAAGGCTTTTGTTACCTTCTTACCCCTATAATATTCTCGTGCTTGTGACCAACACTTTCCCACAAACTTTTCTATTTTTAAATTTCCCATCTTATTTCTACCTCTTGTTTACATCCTAGCCCTACTAATGTGTCAAATTTGTAGTTTTTTGTATACTTGTTCTTTCAAAGGGCATATTATTTAGTATGTGTTTATATTACATTTCATTCCATTTTCAAACCTTCTGGCTTGAGTCCATGTTTAAGATCCACACTGCTAAGCACATATCCATTCCCTTGCCTGGAACTTCCTCAAGAGATATCAATATCCCTGTGGGCTTTCTCAGTGACGTATACCTGATCATCTCCAGGCACCCCACTTCAAAGAATGCTGAAGTTGAAATACAGGGACCATTACAGAATTGTGGGAGCGTAGCATATAAGGGCAATGGGAAGACAGTTCTAAAGCTTCATGGCAGTTTGCTTTACACTCTGAGATTAATAATAGCATAATCGTTTTGGAAGTGGACACCAGCTGTGCATCCATCTGCCTATCCAAAGGCCACAGGGCTCATCATTATTCTAGACACCAAAGGTTACTTGCTTTACAAAAGTAACTACAACCTAGTATTCTTCCAAAATCAACTCCCTTAGAATATGTTTTATTCCTTTTGAAAAAAATTAAAATATTGTGGCAATTGAGAAACCCAAGAAAAGTATTGTAGTAAAGTCCTATTCAATTTTATGGCCTGCATGCTTCTTAATTCTTGTTTTCTAGACTCTGTAAAGACGTTTGACCAAGTACCTGTGATGCCATCATTGTCTCTAGGGTCTGAAGTGTCATGGCAGGCACAGTCCTGAAAAAAAAAAATCCTAGAATGGGTAGGCTAGGGCTGAAACTTTCTCTTAGGTAAGAGCCCACAGTTTTAAGTCTCAATACAAAGACAAATGTTTAGTACAAATTTTTGCACCTCAGGATCCTTCAGAGGACTGTCCACCCTCTTCCTAAGTTGAAATTAACCACTTCTCTCAGCAAAGTCAGTTTCCATCATGACTAAAATTCGTGCGTATTCCCCTTCTCAAGCAGTCTTTGATTCATTATCAAAATCGGAGTCCTCGTAAATGACAGGGATGCCTGTGTAAGAATGTCGGGAATGACGACCATGCTTTCTCCAGGGCTGAGAACAGCAAGCAGATAAGAGAGGCATTGCTGCATGGCCACTGGGGCTGCCTTATGACCATATCCAAAGATGAAAAGGCTTCATCCAGAGCCTTAAAAATAAAAGACAATGCAGATGGAATAACCATATGAATTCAAAAGATGGCTGCCTCAGCTCTGAGAGTATTTATACACCATTTTTGAGGAATCTACCATAAGGTGTCTTAACTTTTTTTTTTTCCTAGCAGATTTGAAAGTTACCTTCCTTTGTACAAGCCCAGGGTTATTTTACTGGCGATCTTTTGGAGTTTCTGACATATAGGACTAGCGGTTAAAAGTTGTATTGCCTTTGCCTTAGTAAACCTCAAGAGTTTGTCAGCTCAGAAATTTACCTCAAAGGCCTGTTCCAGTAAGTTATAGACACTAGTCAGCCTTTAAGTTGAAGGCAGAAGTACTATCTCTAGTGAACCCTAGGTAAAGGAGGCCCCAAGTTTCATCAGTCAACAAGGAACTTGTATGCCCATATCACTGGCCTTACTCACAGGGGAAGGAATGGCAGCCTGTAGGAAATGTATTGCTGTAAGCATAGTTCTGAGCTGGGGAGATGACTCAGTAGGTAAAGCATTTGTGATACAAGGTGAAGACCTGAGGTAGAATTCCCAGAACACATGTAAAGCCAAATGTAGTGACTTGCATCTGGAATCTCAGTGAATTAAAAGCATCCTAGGAAGCAACTAACTTCCTGTACATATCAATGAACATCAATGAACCCTTCTAACACAAGTTGGAAAATGAAGACTGATGACCACAGCTGTCTCTTGACCTCACAGACACACATTGGCATGTACACACCCACACTTTCACAACTGTGTTCGTGTGCAGGCCGTTCACCCCTCCACACGTGCACGTTGAGAAAGAAGGAGAGAAATAAAAATAAAACCCTACTTCATGTTTCCCCAAGATCCCCCAATCCTCCCCTTCTCACTTTTCTCTCCCCGTCCCCCCTTATCCCCAACCCACCCCACCCCCAAGGTTTCAATTTTCTCCCCGGCAATTTTGTCTACTTCCCTTAGCCAAGAGGATAATAACTATATGTTTTTTCTTGGGTTCACCTTCTTGTTTAGCTTCTTTA